AGAAGTCCGCTGAGCATCCTGACCTGGCTATGTCTTGCATCCCGTCTTGACTTGTGTTGTGCCGTCATGTGTGCCCACACCAGGACAACAGTCCTGAAGCCTCTGACCTTTCCCTAACCCTACCTCAATAGCCAGTTCCATAAAATACAGCACCCACAAATCTCTCCACCCCTTAACTCCACCTATTCCTATTCACAATGTGATCTAACACAACAGTCTTCTTCTGGGACATTGGTGTCAAATCAGGTAGTTTTGCTTGAAAACCAAAGGTGTTGATTTCAACTTCTCAGAGATATTTGTAATGTTTCTGCTCCTGACTTTCTGGGTCAGGCTTCTTTAGGGTGCACCAACTGTAGCTGTATCCTGTATGTGGTAGATTGAGTCTGTTTTTTCAATGAGAAATAAAAGTCCAGTTGGATGAATAAAGAAAAGAAAGGACAATGTGCATTTAATTTTTAGTTTATACAGTACATAGGGATGGAGCAGGGAAGTCATGTATGTATTAAAAGATGGATTAAAAAAGAGCAGTGCCAGATGGTCTTATGAAGCCACTGTCCATTTTTTTGTATCTTCTGTCAGAAATATATTAGACCATGTTTCAGGATGAGAGTTTTATTGAAGAAGGTTGGGGAGCTTCTCCTCAAGTGCCACTGCACAATTTAGATGGTATATCTTAGAGATCTTCTGTTTACCCTTCCCAGAAGCACCAAATCCATCACTGTGAGATGCTCTGTAGCATGGAACAGCCCTTACCTTGAACTCCAAATTTCTTTTGCCATGTTGATGGGGAAATCTTTACTAGTATGACACCTCCACATAGCTGAGATGATAAGGAATTGATACAAGTCTCTTACTCGCCTCTGGTACTCATTAAAGCTGCTCCCTCTAGTGCTTGCTAAAAGAAAAGTAACTGTATATGTGTCATTTTGAAAGGAATATTTATTTCCTAGTTCTCATCTCTCTTCTTCATTAAGAGGAATGAAAATCACCTTTGCTTTGGTGAAGCAGGTTGTTTACCTTAACTGCAGTGCCCTTTTTGGCCTGAAAGCTTCTGTGGTAATTAACCAAAATGGACATTTAATTTCTTTGAGTGCCTTTCTGAAGTTCAGGTGATGATTACTGCACCAGGATGCAGTGTCATAACAGTAGGCTCACCCCGGAATCTCCTCCTCACTGCTCCTTCTCTCTTTACTCTTCTCGTAGCCTCTGTGCTTATTCCAAGTCTGAAATTATTGTTAAACCCTAAGACATTGTTTTCCTGGGTCACATTTAGTTTCCTCAGAGCTTAGGAATAGTCCATCTTCTTTTTGAGCAAAAGGGAAGTTGCTGGCTCAGGGTGGTCCCAAGAGCTGGTGTTACAGGAGTAATGCTTGTCAGGCAAAGATGTGGAGTGGTGTCATCATCTGTCAAGGATGGTGCTGCTGCACAAATGGAACTGGATGCATAAATAGCACCCCAAAATGAAACACAGAGTAACCAGAGCATCCTAAGAAGGGGTGGTGAGAGCTGCTTATGGGCTACTGCAGGGTGCTTGCTGGCAGCTCTCCTAGTGGGCAGAGTTCCTGCACCTGAAGAGATCTAACTTTATGCACAAATTAGATGCTTTTGTTGGCAGTGTTTGCAGTGTCCTGGGGAGGCAGGTAGGTGTGTTAGGGAGTCTGTAACTTCCTCATAATCTCCAGCACATGCCAGCCCAGCATATGTTCTTTTATGCACTCCCAAATTCATCCAAGACCCCTTGCCTTCCCCTCTCCAATCTCTCCTCAAATGTGCATCATGGGCGGCACAGAGAAAATCAGGGTTTAGTGCCACAGTGCATTTCTTCAACTTTTCCAGCTGCCCTCTGTTCTTTTCCAATATCAGTCATAAGTTCATTACTGTACCTGTCTCTGCTTCTGGACAGGCTGGGAGGAACAGGTGCCAGCTCTTTATCAGGGTGGACAAGGAACAATTATGTCTTCGGAAATTCTCTTCTTGGGAAAGTGATGTATTGCCAATAAGCAAAGGCAATGGAGCTTGTCCCAGTTCCTGGAGTGGTGGCCCTTGTTGGCACCTTACATGCCAAATGGGGGCAATCATAGACTCATAGACTCATTTTGGGTTGGAGAAGACCTTTAAGATCATTGAATCCAATGGGCAGGTAGGTACCTGGCACAAGGGAGTTGACCTCTCACGAGCACAGACTGCTCTTTGCTTAGAGTATGCCTTGGAGCCTGGTGCTGCCATGTTCCTGCTCCCTGGCAGAACTGCCTATCCCACAAAAACCAGCACCCAGCTGGAAGAGAAACCGTGGTGGCATAGATGTAATACAGGGCATAAGCAAACAAGCCCTGGTACTGTTGGTCTTATGGTATGCATGTGAGCTTTGACTTGGTATGTGTAGCATGTTATGAAGAAGCTGATTAAATTTCATGAAAGTTGCAGCCTGAAAGGCTCTAGAGAAAAACAAAACTAGAGCTTTTTTTCTTAAGAGGATTTGGGTAAAATAAAAAAAAAAAGTTGTTCTTATTGACTGAGATTTTAATTTTCATTTTTCTTTACCACTCGAAGAACTGCTTCTCCAAGGGATTGGCATAGGTCTAACTTAGCTTTGCAGAGAGAAAAGGCATTTTTCTTTCATTCCCATTGTGGGCTAGGAGCTTGCCTGTATATTTTTACTGCATGAGGGAAAGCGTAATGTTGGTTGACGTTGGGTTTTGTGGGCAGAACAACATGATTTGAAAAATGCCCTTCTCACTTCAGCAAAAAAACATGACCTCAGCAAGTATGCTGTCACAGCTTCAAAATCTGTGTGCCTTTAAGCCCTGGAAAATGGGCACAGACTGAAGTCAGCTGCTGTAGGCCAAGTTCTCCATTGCTGCAGCCGTACCCAGAATGGGCTGATGGCTTTTTTTTCTGAACAAACCATGTAATCTTATTTGTCATCTTTTTGTTTGCACAAAGTTAAATCAAGGCCTTAAAAAAAATCAATCTGGAGGAAACAAACTATTCAAACTAGTTGACTGCAGATGCTCTTTTTAATAAAGTGATGGTTTCTGTAGGATTTATTCACCCGTGTCATATGCTTTGTGCTGGCTGGACTTTCTAGACAGCTGCAACTCAGAGATAAGTTAACTCTTTTGTCAGGTTACAGTTCAACTCCTATTTTTCTTTGCTGATTTAAGTTATTTAAATGTTAAGAAACTCATTCACAAAATTCACCCTGTTTAAAGACATCAGGGTGGCACCAGGAATGAGTAATTATTGCTGCTGTGATTTATCGTGTTTGTTGGGGTAGCACCTGGTGATAAGTTGAGAGCCAGGCTCTGTTTCCAGGCCATGCAAACACTCTGTGTGCCTCCTTGTTTTATAAATCTGCCCAGCCCCAGCTCTACCTGAAGGTACATAACGGGCAACAATGTGATGTGCTACTGTGGCATCTTGAATAAGAAGCCCCAGCCAACTTCTACGTGTCAGAAAACTGTTTTAAAAGGTGTGCCACGTGTTTTTGCATGACGCTTGGCCTTCTGAGGCAAAAAAGAGTGGCTGAGTTTTGTGTATCTGAAAATCACTGCTTACAGCTTCAGCCTCCAGGATGCTGAACTTGCAGCCAAGGCAATCAGTGCAAGAGCAAGATTTTATTTTTCATTTTTGAATGAAAACATAAAATAAACATGACAATAACTATTCCATCATTTTACTGGTACCTATGTAGGAAACTCTTATATCTATGCAGCTCTGTAGCTCTTCAAACTGTGTTTGGCATGCCCCACTGAAAAGAGTTGCTGTGTATACACTGTTATTGTTTGCCTTGAAAATCCTTCTTTGTTAAATTGCTGCTTGATCTGGAGGGACATTTTGGATACAAAATTTTGTCTGAGGGTCCTCTTTGACTATGAAAGCCTCTGCATTTTAACACAGTTTCTCCAGTGTCAGAACAAAATGATGCACAGTGGAAGTCCCTGTTGCTCTTTCACAGTGATGACTTTTAACTATCCCCTTTCCACACAGCCAGAACCTGCAGCACAGCCAGGGTGTTTGATTGATGCCTATCCCTGCCAGCTTCCAGGCTGAGCCTTTCTGGAGCCAGCATCAGCTTTGCCAAGGACTCTAGCTCCTCCTGTTAAGCCTTATTTTGAAACTCCTGGCAAAATGTATTCCATATTGTCCACATCAGTGAGTTCCAGATTCCAGATTTTCCAGGCTGGTTTTTATTAATATTTATTTATTTATTTATATATCCATCTCAGGATGTTACCCAGGTTGGCTCAGTGGTTCTCCACAGTGTCCACAATTACAGTATCCCTGATCTGTTGGGTATTAGGGCGCAGCCTCTAAAGCTCTGACCATGTGCTTGGACACATAACAGTGTCTGAGTGCTGTGGTTGTATAGCAGTGACCAGGAAGGCGAAAACCTCCAGGGAGCGTGAGAAGGATGTGCTGGAACTGCGTGCGAGTGTGCAGCCACTTCCCTCATGCGTGGAGGTTCTCAACCACGTGTCCCTGGCATAAAGTCAGAGGAACCTTAGCCCCAAAACACCAGCTATTGAGCTTGGCCTACACCCTTCCTCTTGTGTCATGCCAGTGGCTGCATTGTTGGAGTGGAGCCAGCCACACTGTGGAGGCCTCCTGACCCCTGGGAGTATTCAGCAGCTGTTCCTGAAGCCCCTGGCAGGGATGGGATATGGTGCAGTCAACATCTTTGGAAGCAGCACAGAGGCAACCCGTTTCCAATCAAACAAGTAGCTTTGGAGGGGGGAAAAAAAGGGTCTGAGGGAGTAACGTTCTACTCGCAGCATTTGCAATAAGTTATTTTAATTTTTATTTATCTCCAAGTCAGGGGTGAGTCAGCCTGGGATGTGACTCAGACCACCTCCTTTGTGAGCCTTCAGGGAGGGCAAAGAGCACAGCCTGTGCTCCACTGTGCCTCTTACCAATGCTTTATTACATGCTTTATTTTGCAATTTTTTAAAAACCCTACGAAGCTGATATTTTTTTTTTCCTCTTTCTTTTCTCTCTAGTTTTGTATGGAGCTGAACCAGCCAACGCTGCCAAACATCCGCAAGTGGAAGGGCCCTAGAGGATGTTGGAAGGGTGTTGTTTCCGAAAAACCCTCAGGCCAGCTACACAAGGTACATTAATCCCTAAGTCTGAACTTTGGCTTTGCTTTCTTTTTCCCCTCTAACCAAGGATGTATTTTGAATGTTTAAGGCAACACACATTGCAAATCCTTTTTGGAAAGGTTTGCATTTCTTGTTTTTTTATGCTGACTGTTCCTACAGCTTTCAATTTGACTTCGCGATTGATGTTTTGCAAGAATTGTGGTGTGCTTCTAAGGAGGAAGGTGTGTGTGTATTTGTGGGAGGTATGGTGGATAAAGGCAGTACAGAAATACAGAAGAAAGGCTACACATTAGGGCAAGGAAAGAGCCCTCAGTTTTGCCCCTGGTAGGCAGCAGTACTTGTGAATTTTTTTGTGCTGATCACCTGAGGTTGTTCCCTGGTGCTGCACTGGCTGGCATTTGTAAGGGCTCCCCATTTTCCTAGTTTGCAAGTGAAGAGTCTGCAGAGGGGCCCTGCAGCCTGCCGTCCTCACCTAGAAGACTTTATCTCCTACGTTCTCCAGAGTGCTTTGTACAGGTGTTAAAAATGCTGTGGACACCATTTGAAACCTGCACCATGCTGCACTGTGCTTTTCCCTGCAGCGTCTTCTGCTGTGGAAATATGTGTATATACTGTAGAGAGGTACTAATTTATATGGTGGTGACAGCTGCACCTGCTACTTTTGACAATATTCAAGATATAGCTGCATTGGGCTGGACGTGACTAACAGTGCCCAAAAGCAGTGTCTCCCAAAGGAAATGTCTCTTTTTTTCCCTTTAAGGGTGCTAATGAGTTTTCGGAGGAAGGTCCTCCTTGAGCTCAAGCCTTTTGTTGCTGATCAGGGTCATTTTCATGATGCAGTCATCAGAGTGGGGATGTTGTTGTGGGGTGAAAGAGGGAATGGAGACCTGTTATGTAACAAGTGGTGCCTTGCAGTACATGAGGCTGTCTTGAACGAGCTATTTGATCTGGAATGATCTATTCTGAGCACTGTTGTTACTGTGGCTTCAGTTGTGTCCTGTAACCACTTTCCTTGGAATAACCACTCTCCTTGGAATCCACATTTCCTTAATTTGGCTTTTCCAAATCAGGTTGCATCCCTGTTCACTGGTGATTTTTGGGAGGCACACCTCTTTTTATTGCCGTTCTGAGTAAAACCCAAGAATGAAGGGGAACAAGGAACCAAACTCCAGCTAAAACCCACTACCCGAGCAGCACAAGGATTGGACTGTAGCTACCACCAGACAGGCATGGAGGGTCTGAATGTGTCCAAGCTTTAATACAATTCACACTTAATTGCAATGCACAGTGCAAATGCCCTTCAGGGCATTTTTTATTTTATTTATTTTAATTTTTATTCCTGGCTGGAGTTTTCCTTTGGGATTTCTTGGTAGGCCAGATCATTAAAACACTGAATATAAATAGTTGTGCAAAACTGTGAAAGTTGTTCCTGCCACTTTTTCTCTTTTCCCAAGAATTATTAATAAATGTCTCAGAGTTTCTATGTTAAATCCAGAGTCTTCCATCAGTTCTTTCTTGAACTGTATTTCCAAAGATAACAATGGTAGTTTTGACTATGGACTGAGTAAATAAAACTTGTCATCCACCTCGGTTTACTGGTAGGGAAATAAGGATGAATGGTTCCCAAAATTATGAGAGAAATGTGTGACCAAGCTAAGAATAGAAATTTTATCTACTGACTCTGCTTTTTAGCTGCTTTAACAGAAATCTGACTGTGCTGGAGAACCCTCCGATAAGCCAAAAAGTCTCTTCTAACACTGGGCTAGTTAATGAGCCAGTCAGGTTTGAACACCCCGTACACAGATGCAATGCCATGAGGTAACACAGTGTAACCTCACGAACAGAGCATCTTCAGCACAAACCAATCTCAGGAGGCTCTACAGGGCTAAATAATGCCAAATACTGGATGGTGCTTCAGGCTCGTGCTTCCACATACGCCGAGCATTTGGCCTTCAACCAGGCAATGACTTTTGACCACCATGTTGATGTGAAGACTGGAGCCAGGAAATAGCAAACACCTGTTGATAACGGTTTTATTCTTCCGCATCTTTTCCTGTAGCAGTTTTCAGACCTTAGACTTCTGACTGGGGGAATAATTTTGTCAGTATTTAAGGGTTAGTTATCAAAGGAGCTGCCAAAGAATTTTAGCCAACCTTAATACTTTCAAGGCTCTTGGGAAGTCAGTGGAGCAGTTAACACTTTTTTATTGCAGCTGAAATGGAGAAAACTCTTTTTTCCGATGGATTTAACTATGATTCGCTAAGGGAAGTGGGTTTGAATGGTGCCAAGGAAAGTGGTGTCTGGGTGATGGGAGGAGAGGCTTTGAATTAGGTACTGCTTTTGATGCGACCAGGGTAGGCAGCTTTCTGAAAATGCCAATTCCATATCATGAAATTATCAAAAAAAAAGCCCATGCAGGATGAAAGGAGCACAGAGCTGAGTGTGAAATGTTCAAACTGGAAAACAGACAGCAAAGGTTGACAGGGCTGAGAGGTCTAGACCAGATTTCATGCCAAGAGACTGAAGGGGCCAAGGTGTTTTTAGCTTACGGGCAACAGAAGGCTGTGAGATGGCATACGGCCTGTGGAGAAGGAACAACTGTGTGCAGCATTGTCTGCTGCAAGCCCTAGCAGTCACCCAGTGAGACTGAGCTCATGGTTAGAAAAATAATCCTGTGGGTAAAGAACTACCTCATTATTGACCGTGCTCAGAGGAATCTGGTGCTTTGCCTGGACTAGGAGGAAACAAGGACCACATCAGCCCAAACACACACATGAGAGGCAGCATCTTTCACCCCTGTGGTGGTCTTGAACATGCCCTGCCTGTATAAAATAAAACAGATTATTAAATCCTTGGCAGGACCGAGCAGTGCTAAAATTACCTGAGTATCCAAAATTACCACCGTGCAGGTGTGAGGGGCTGTGAGTAGCATAGCAATGCATGTTTCAGCTTGGCACACTCAGTTTTCAGTGAAGTCAGTGGAGGTGCCCAGGAAGTGTCCCTCCCACATCTGGTAGGGGGATTTGGCTGGGATGCAATAAAGAAGCATTTCCACCTGATCTCTGTGTCTCCTACTGATAGCCTAGGATGCTATTTCTCGTTTACACATAGTAAATTGGGCTACCTTCAGCAGGCACCATGCCTACATACTTCATCTTCTACCACCTCTGCATATTTTGGGAGCGATGTGTGCCAATGCCAACAGAAACAGAAGTATTGAAACTTGCAGGTGCAAGTTTCACCTGTGGGGCTGAATTTGGGCAGAATGTTTTGGTTTTACCTTCTTATAACTGGCTTTTCTCTTTTCATTTTTTAATTTCAGGGAGTTGAATATTCTGGCTTCCTCTGGGATACGACAGCTGGCATTGAGCTGAAAGATGCCTCATCTCAGGAGAGCGCACAGACTAATGGCAACGGGAGGCACTCATATCCTCACCCGTATCTTGCACATTTCAAGGTAACTGCCATTGTGCCAGCTGACCCTTGCAGAGCTTTTATTAGAAAGAACTTGGGTAAGATGAAAAGAGACTTCTAACAGATAATAATTTGCATGAGCCTCTAACCTATCTCATCACTGTCCCATGGCTTGATTATGGACAAGTGCTTAGTGGACATATGGTAGTTCATCACAGTCAGTCCTTTCCCTTGCTCCTGTGGCAGCAAGCCCTGCTGCAAGGGAGCATTTGAGAATGTGAGGGTCAGTGGATCCTCAATACTATCCGTAGCCACTGAGAGTGTGACAGAAGTCACCAGTCACCTTGTTCGTCTTTTACCAAATTAACACAGGCAGAATGAGGTGTGTGTCCAGCAGCAGCCAGCCACAAGGCTGTTATTCTTGTCAGTGCCACAAAGAGGGATAAGTGCAGGGAGAATGGAGATAGATTATGTATATATGTGTGTGTGTGTATAAGGCACAGTGCTGCAGAGAGACTCGGGCTAGCCTGTCTTATGTTGCTATCATACTGCAGACTTTCCATTACAAAGCTTTTTCACTAGGCTGAACCCATCTAAAACAATGTCATCAGTTTTGAAAACAGTTCTTGTACATAAGCTTGAGCAAACATGTAAGCAGAGGGAGCCCATCTCTGCATAGGCTGTGATGGAGGAATCCAATTTGACATGTCTGGTGATGCTTTGAGAGAAGCATTGATCAAATAATTATGAATAAATAAATTACTAGTAATTAAATAATTATGCAAATAGGTCAATATTAGGAGTAAGTATTACTTGTTCCAAGTGATTCCCAGAAGGTAAGAAGAAGATTGCAGAGAGCCAACAGCTTCTTTCAAGGTACATTAAGTTTCTTGGTTAGTCTCTGTGACGAACTAGGGCTAATCACAAGACAGTAGTAATTAGCCCCTGTAATGACCATGACATTATTTGTAGCTTATTAATAACTGGTTTTACATAAACTGATTTTCATAAGCAGCTGACTTCTTTCTGCAACTGTGGTGGAAGGGAGCTGTTTGCATATGCAAACCAGTTTCACCAGATCTGAGAGGCTTTCAGGTTAAGGCACACAAAGCTGCAAAATGCCTCCCTCCCCTTCCTCCTCAAAACAAGACACACCAAAACACACCACATACATAGCAGAGGGAGTCCTAGTCCTCCAAATTTACTACTGAAAGTACTGGGAGCAGGCACGTGGTTTTGCTTTGTGACCTTCCGTGCCCTGTGCATTGATTTCTCCTCCTTCCTCCCCCAGGTTGGAATGAATGATCTAACGGTGGTTAACCTTCACCTGGCCTTGCCATCCTCAGCGGGAGAGAATACTGGGAAGAACCACGACAGCCACAAACTGGCAGCCTGTGCGCAGAGTTTGCAGGAGACTCTGAAAGGTAGGGCAGGTTTTTTCCTGCCAGCTGTCACGTGCACACTGGCGTTTATCTAATTAAAAGGAATTTTAAAAATAATAAAATCTGCTTCAGTGAGCATTTCACAAATATCCTCCTCAGCCTCTCAATTGTCTTTACCCGCATTTGTATTTGAATGATGCATAGCATGACAAATGTGCTTTTCTCTTTCTCCCTGTCTTATAGTCTTTCCTAATTAACACAAACAGCACAGGGAATCCTACTGGCTTTGACATCATTTTTTCAAATGAAGTTCCTTCTGATTTTATGCTACTGTAAGAGCAAGTTCTGCCAAAGGAAAAAAATGACACCAGAGTTGAGACCCTATTTTAAATACTTTGTGGAAATGACACCTACCTGATATCAGAACAAAGCTTAATTTTTTTTTTCCCTCAAGAGAAGTAGGTTTTATATATTTACTTTTTGGATAATTGAAAGCTCTTTGGAAAACCCAATGTAAATCAGGAGGCAGCTGCTAATGAGAAAAGAATGACACCAGAATGTAGATCTGAACTTGAGCAATGTAATAGCCGTTGAATTTCTCTACCTTGTTTCTGCAAATTTGCTTCTTACTTTGAAGCTTGCAAATTATATTCAGTTTCCTATGGAGCAGAACGAAATGTTTCAGATGTTGCTGATCTTGTTATAGGAATAGAAAAATCTAGCCCTTTGTTTACTGCTTAACAAAGATGTGAAAGGGTTGCAAGGTTGTATGCGTGATGATTTTCAACTTGGCCCAGTTTAATAAGGTTGGTCACTTGGAAGCGTTAATATCCCTCTTGTATAACACCACAGGTATTTGCAGTTTTCATGCGTGTTGTATCGTTGTTCCTTTTGAACTGCAGAAGTCAGTCAGAGCTATTTTAAGTGCTACTGATTAAAGTATTTGTCCACTTACTTTAAAATTGGAAAGGATGAAGGTGAACAAAAGGATTGTTTGTTTAATCCCCAAAGGCTGAACTGAGACACAAATAAGTGTGTAGCTCTTCTGAAGTCAATTGAGTTGCACTTCCACTGCGTCTAAATTTAGATTGTTGGCATTCTCTTTATGTTTTAATTTTCATATGGGAGGCACGTTACTGGAGCAAGCTTGTTCTTGGCTTAGTCTTTCACAAAAAATGAGATTCAGATTCCTCCAAACCTGTGGGTTGCAGGTGTGGTTTCCTAAACAAATGGGAGTGCACATGTGTTACTTTGAAGTACTGAATTACCCTGCCAAAATGAATGTCATGCTTAAAATTACTGCCATCCTTCAATTTCTTCCAAATCAATTCATAAAATATGGGTAATAAGAACTTTTGTCTGTGAGTACTGCAGTAAATTTGAGTTTCTGTTCCCATTTTGCTAACAGATGCCTGTTTAACTATCCTTTCTTCTTATGAGGAGGCATGTGAGCATCTGAGGAATGTTGTTTACTGTTTACTATCCACAGCCTCCTGTAATGCAGAACACTAGTGTGCCCATATTTCTCCATTAGACAAGTGGGTCCTGGTTCCTTTTTCCCCCTCTTTCTTTTCCTTCACTGGTACTGGAGAGACGTGGTGGCTGTTGGCTGCTCGTAGCTAACTCTTTGCAGCAGCTCTTCTGTCTTCTCTCAGGAATTCCACAAGTTCGTCTTCAGTGCAGTGAGCATGGGCACCACACAGGTGCTACTCTGAATGTAGTGGTTGGACCCAGGGCTCAGGGTATTGGATGGATTGAGAGCAGTCCTGAGGAGAAGAACGTGGGGGTATTGGTGGATGAGAAGCAGAACATGAGCCAGCAATATGTGCTTGCAGAACAGAAAGCCAATCACATCAAAAGACACATGGCCAGCAGGTCAAGGGAGGTGATTCTCCCCCTCTACTCTGCTCCCATATGACCCCATCTGGAGCAGTGCATCCAGCTCTGGGACCCCCAACAGGGGAAGGATGTGGAGCTGTTGGACCAAGCCCACAGGAGGTCCATGAAGATAGTCAGAGGGCTGGAGCATCTCTCCTGTGAAGAAAGGCTGACATAGCTGTCATTGTTCAGTCTGGAGAAGACTTTGGGGAGACCTTATAGTAGCCTTCCAGTACCTAGAGGGCGCCTACAAGAGAGCTGGAGAGAGACTTTTTACAAGGACATGTAGGGATAGGACAAGGGAGAATGGCCTTAAACTGAAAGAGGATATTTAGATTAGATATTAGGAAGAAATTCTTTACTATGAGAGTGATGAGGCACAGGAACAGGTTGCCCAGAGAAGCTGTGGGTGCCCCATCCCTGGCAGCGTTCAAGGCCAGGCTGGATGGGGCTTCGAGCAACCTGGTCTAGTGGAAGGTGTCCCTGCCCATGGCAGAGGGGTTGGAAATAGATGATCTTTAAGGTCCCTTCCAACCCAAACCATTCTATGATTCTGTGATCTTCTCTCATATGGCTTGGCCATATTCCATGGGTTACCCATGCATCACTAGGCTTACAAGACCTTTGAGAAGCAGTAGGGAGCCGCTTAGCAGCCAGTTTACGATCACATACTTCTCAACATCTGCATCTCACTCTCTCCAGGAAGGATTTGGAGGTTTAAGGGTCTGTTTAATTCCCGAGGGAAGTCATTCAGGGCATGGAAAAATCAGGGAGAATGTCCTACAGGTGTCACTTTGGACTGCAGCAAAGCAAAGGAAGGTTTCACGGTTCCTGCAGGGAAGCAGATTTCAAGACTGCAGACTTTCTGCAGGCACTGTCAGTCCCTCAGCTGATTGCATTGGCACACCAGAGCTCAGCCACTGCGGCACAGGGCTGAGTTAAGGCAGTGCTTTGATTTGCTGGCCAAGAGCCACCCGCAGGCACTGCTAGAATTCACTGGTGCTTCAGTGAGTTTGAAGATGCATTTGCAAACAGACTAGACGTTTTCTTCACCTGAGGAGTTCTCTGTTGACAAGGACATGGTTGTTTTGGGCCCAGTGGGTCTGAATGTGTTTGGGAGCACCAGTGAGAGGTAATGAATGGGACACATGCCTGGCTGCTGTGTGATGTATGCCACCACATCCAACAGATGGAGGCTCTGGGTTCTTGTGGACATTACAGTCTGTGTCAGTGGCTTTTGCAGCAAAAGATGGCTTGGTAGCAGAGCACCTTCTGCTCTGTCCTGTTGTAGAAGAAGAGGAACCAGATTGCATCGGCTGAGGAGCCTCTGTCTTCTGAGGAGAAGGAGAATCAAGTCCTGCCAGGTTTAAACTTATTAACTCCAAAAGAGGAAAATAACAGCACAGCACCAGTAGCATTGTCTTGATTTTCTTTTTTTCCCCCATCTCATTGTAACACTGGATATCATGACTGCAGTTTTTGATCAGTTATCATCCCTTGTTATGAACAAGGGCATGATTTCTTCTGGAACTTTTGCTACGTTTGGCTGAGAGCCATTAAGGCTGATCTGTGAGACCCCTGAGAGCTGCAGCTACTGTGTGCAGCTCTGCTCCCTGCCTCTGCTGAGAGACCCGGCGGTGTCCAGTTAGGCGCAGTCACGCACTCGGGAGGATCCAGGCGGGTTCACTTCCTTCCCTCCCGCTGTTTGATGTCTGTCAGGATCTTGGGAGGCAGACAAGACACGAAACCTCAGTGCTGGTGTGCATTGACGTTGCTGTCGCAGGAGCTGGCAGAGGTAGGAGCAAGGCTGAGAGAGAGCCAGGACAGGGGGAAATGAAGTTGGTGGTTGTATAGAAAATTGCTGTTTCTTGCTCTTCCTTGCTTAGCACAGGCTACCTGATATATTCCCCATTGATTTGCAATCTGGGGAGTCCCAGAAGCTCCTGAGAGAGGGGACCAGAAGCAATCCTTTCTCTCCCCGGTGGCAAATTTGGTTCCAGCCTCTTTAACATGCACCAGCCTATTCCTTCTGTCAACTTCACACTGTGTAACGATTTCATGCTTAGTTATTCTGCATGCAAAAGCTTAAATGGGTGAAGAATATAGTGATTCCCTCCCTGAACAGTTAGCTGCAGGCTGACTTCTTACCTCCTTCCGAGCACACATCCAGGTGCTGGGTCTTTTAGCCTCTGCTGTTTCTGAACTGTGCGGAATGGAGCAGTCAGTTAAAATTTTCACTTGCAAGTATGGTGGGTTTTTAATAGATTTTTCATGTGAGGGAAATAGGCTTGAAGATTTGCTAAAAGAAGTGTAAGTAGTATAGAATATAATAGTTTTGTGCATAATCAAGATACTGCTGTTAAGATCCCTGCCTCTCTGTCATTTTTAAACACCAGCCCCCAAGGATGTGCTCCAGAGGTTTCCATAATGGCCCTTTCCCACTTATAGGGCCAAACTAAAAGCAGGGAAGGAGCTGAGTGCTGCCTGGGCCGTTAAGCAAGTGTTAGTACTGAAGGACCAAGATGGTGCAGTTGCATTTCCAGCTTCCTGGTCCTGCCAAGCAAGAGATCTTTGTGATGAGAGGCATGCAATACCACCAGCTCACAGCAAGCACTGTTCTCCCATTACGCAAGCACTGATTTTTCTTTTAAGTTCTGGTGGAGCTTAGAACAACTCAGGTTGAGATTCAGTTTTTTTATTTCTTTCAAAGATGGGAAGACTGCTGTCCCAAAAACTTTATAGAATAATATTTAAGCTTCATGTTATTTACAGTATGATTTGTGACTTGCAAAGGGTAGAGAAATCACAAATATTTTCACCATCGCCCCCCTGCATCTTAGCAAACAGCATGTTTTGAAGTATTTGTAAATCATATGTCATCAGTCTTGCTGCTTTTGTGCCCCTTCCCAATTCGTCTTTCTTGCAGTGCAAGACAGGAGTGGAATAGATTTTGTTGTCGAGCTTGTGCTCCCTCTCCTGGATAGTGACTTCTACAGCAATAGCACAAAATGAGGTTCATCCAACAGCACTAAGTATGGTAGATCAATCTGTCTGTCCACCCCGCCACCTCCCACACTCCAGTCCCAGGAAGGAAAAAGCTTATAGGCTCTCATAGTTTTGTTTTCTTAAGTCATCTTTGGGATAATTTTTTTGTGCATTTGTGCCCCCTTTTTAGCATCTTTCTCAACTTTTCCAGTACCAAGTTATAACGCAGAAGCATCTCTATCAGCTGTCAGCATTCTTCATTTTGTCTTCTCAGATGTTTCTGGCAGTGGTTTGAGATGGGCACTGAGCCGTGGGCGTTGTCATCTTACCCCAGTGCACAGCTGGGATGTCTGCATCCACATCTGTGGAACTAGGAAAGCACAAATTGTGGATATGAGATTAGGGTCCAGAGTTTTTTTTCTCACTCGTTGGGTTGGAAATACAATGTAACTGAAATAATTTTCTGTTCACATGAAGACAGAATTCTTTGATGAGCATTTTGAGTCATTGCTTGTGTTTCTTTGAAAATTCAACCCTAGGCAAAAATCTGAAGTATTCCAAGTTGAGCAGTATCCCTTCAGTCAGCCAGGCAAAGGAAAGCTGCTGTAGTCAGGGAGTGTCTGGGTAGTTTCTCAATTTACCTTCTGCTATCAGGCTTGCAGGCTACTCCTTGGTCTTATTCCTTGGGATTTCTCAAATGCAAAGATTAGAATGAGCATTGCACTTTTGAGACTGATATATATCAGCATGAGGCTGTGTCTTCCTGGGTTCCCCACAAAAGTGTCCTTGACTTTTACAGAAAATCTGTAAAAAGACAATGTCAGGTCAAGTTAAAGCAAATTTGTATTTCTTGCAGGGAAAAAAAAAAAACCGAAGCTTAGAAAGTCACAGATTCCTAAAAACCTCTAAGATAAGAACTGCTTGTCTTTGCGTTTGTCTCTATCAGTGAATAGCAAGGAAAAGGCACCAATATAAATTAGATTGTATTTAAAAACAAGCATCAAACGTGTACTGGTTGGTTTTATTGTCATGAAGAGAATGGCCATGACTAAATAGCCAGTGAAAAAGGCTTTAGACAGCATTTCTTTCAGGAGTTCAGAGTACAGTCAGCTTTGCTATTCAGTACTTGTATTTTACCTCCTCCCATTTTTCCCTCTCCCTCTTGTACTTCAGTGATGGATGTCCATTCCTCCCATTCTTTTCTATTTTTCTGTTTTCTAGGAGAAAAAGATGTAATCATCCTCGGAGATTTTAACCAGGCCCCAGACAGCAGTGACCATGACATCCTGAGGAAGGAGAAGTTCCATCACCTGGTCCCTTCCAGCACCTTCACTAACATCAGCACAAAGAACCCACAAGGGTCCAAGTCGCTGGACAACATCTGGATCAGTCGGAGCTTGAAAAAGGTTTTCACAGGTATAGTTGCTTTTTAGTGAGGCTGTGTAACCTTTAGTTAGGTTAGCAGTTTGTGTCAAATTTGAGCAGTATTACTTACCTTTTTCTCTGATTCTTTTTGATGCAGGTCATTGGGCTGTTGTGAGAGAAGGGCTTACAAACCCATGGATCCCCGATAACTGGTCCTGGGGCGGGGTGGCTTCAGACCACTGCCCAGTGCTCGCTGAATTTTACCTGGAAAAGGACTGGAACAGGAAGGAGGTGACACGGAACGGGAATGGGGTGACGGTTGAACGGAACGACTCCCACACTAAGCACGAACGATGACGTGAACTTGAGGGTGCTTCTTCTGCTACCCAGGGAGCAGTCAAAAGCTCTGGTCACTCACGGCTCTGGCAGAGCAGGACTGGCTTTCCCTCTCCCTCCTTCCTGCGTTCCTCCCTGCGCTTAGAAAGCATCAGCACTTGTTTTTGGTGGGCCTGGCTCTGTGCCCCTCCTGGACAATTGTGGACAGTGTCTCATGGCAGCAATCTGCAACTTTTTCTGGGGACACAGTGGACATTTCCACACCTGGAGATTTGGATGAGAATTGTACAGAAAATAAAGTGTACTTTTAATACTGTAGAGGATCTTTGCTAAAATACAGCTGAGCAGGGCTTGGCTGTGAGGGTGAGGCAGGTGTGATGGTTATTTTCCTTTGCCTCTTTGTAAATTGAGGTAATTAAGAGAAGCCCCAAAAAGAGAGACACAGAGGAAATTCTTGGCAGCTTGCAAATGCCTTGCAAAAGCTGCCAGAGCTGGTCCCTGTGTGACCTGAAGTGAGACCTGAGTGGTCCCTCCGGCTCAACCTGGAGAGATACCGCTCCTCCACGTAAGCACCTCTCATCCTTCCCCTTCTCCCTCCTTATGCTCCTCGTGGGGTCATTTTGCCCCAGAATGGCTTCCTGGAGCTTGGCTTTGGCTTTCTGTTTGGTGCAGTGTTCAGTGTTGGGTTTTCTTCCTCCACGCTAGCCTTCAGCAGGTGGGAAACCACCAACTGGTCCCTCTGCATAGCCAGAGGTCACTTCTCCAGTGCCCTCTTCCTTGTTCCTTCTTAGGGTTCTTGCAGGAACAGCCCTTGTCCTCTGGCCCTGCAAGCGGCATCAGATAGGAGATGTAACCATGGGTCTTTGTCCAGGAGTTGGCATTCTGAGCAGGGCTCTGGGTTTTCAGTTTCTCCCTCTGGAAGACCAGGCAGTTATGCATCCCTTTCCTTGCTGCATAAGCCCGGTCCAGTCACCGTGACATGGAGTCTAAATACAGTGTATGGTCATCATGCATATGGCAGGGATGGGATCTGCTTCCAAGGAGGTTCAGTCCTGGGTTGGGGACACTTCAGTCAGGACCCTGCCACAACAGCACTGGAAATGGAGCATTAAATATACCACCTACATAAATTTTTTCAGTAACAATTAATAAACAATTCTAGTGACCCATAAGGGAAACATACCCGGACTGGAAAAAGCAATTCAGCATCTGCAAGAGAAATGGGTTGAGTGTTAAAGGTGCTGAGCTGCCCACTAACCTTCTGCTCTAGGCTGTAGATGACCACACATTTTGCTGCTGAGCAGCAAGGAAAGTTCTCTGGCGTGACTCATTGATTTATAAAGGGAAGACTACTCCTGACAGCGATGCCTGAACAAAGGAGATGTTGTAACTGAGGGGTACAGAGTAAACAGTATCATAATCTTGCAGCATTTGAGTTATCATCTCATTTCTAACAGCTCAATAGCCATAATAACTCATTTCTCAACAACTAAATACATTCCCATACAAACACACACAGTTGAAAGGCTTTTCTGTCTATATGCAAAACTAAACCTAGAATGAGGTGGAATAGTCTCAAGGTGACTCTCAGACTGAGGGAGTTTTCATGGACATTTCAAGAGGTTAAGTGAATGACTAAAAGCTCAGATAATCAGACCAAAAATATATCTTTAGTTGCTCAACATTCCCTGTTGAAAATGGGTGGTGCAGGCATTTGTCTCTGATCATTAAAGAAGCCAGTGGGAGATCTTGGCTCTAGCTTTTGTTCTGGATTCTTGCTGCTGCTTTGTCCTTTTCAATCAGGCACAATTTTGCTGCCCTTAAATTGAGCAGCACCAGATCGCCCAAGAAACTCTCACTGGATGGATATTGGAGTTCCCAAGAACATCTGTCATGTTATAGTTGTTCAGAAACTGAAGTGGTGGCTGTCTTTCTCCTGCAACTGCAGGCACAGACCCAATTTTATTTCAAGATGTTTCTAATAGAAGCTAAGCTGGCCTAGATTTCTGTGGCTTTGTTGCCCAGGCAGTGCCAAGGCAGGCATCAACAAAGGAGGTGGCACAGAACCAGTGAGCCTTTCCTGCAAAAGGCCAGATACAGGCTCTACACCTTACACGTTTTGGGGTTCCCTCAGGTACCAAAATTTTGTGAGGCTGGGTCCTGTTTCATAAGTAATGTCACTAATGGCTGCAGTCTCATTTGGTCCAGGTTTAACTTTTCTTAAGGTAATTTGTCTCATCTGTGCACAGTGAAATTTGGTGGAGCTCTTCTTTGCCCATTGCATGTGGAGCCTGGCCACTTCTTACAAGGAAGCGCTGCTTCTTATCTCCTCCTGGCACATGCCAGCCTCAGACCTCCCCTGGCCAGGTGACATGGTGACAGCTGAGGCACAGCACATGGTCCCTGTGGAGGCTGTGGTTGGTGAGACCTTGCAGCTGTGGCTTCTGCAGGGGAGCTCTCTCCTCCTCCTGGCTGCAGAGGTGCCTCCTAGAAGGGCACAGGTGAGTTTCTGCCTTTTAGCATCTTCTGGAATAAAAGGTTAAAGCAGTACCTGGCTCACCAGGGCTGAGGGGGGCATGTCTAGTTGTTTGGCCTCTTTGCTGCTCACAATGAAGGCTATTAAAATATTCTCAGTTAAATTACTCTCCTTTCCTGTTTGCTCTGACCTCTTTGCTTCATGGCAAAGCCTCTGGTTTGTCCTGGGGGCTTTTTAGAACCTTTTTGGCAAATGTCCATTTGGTCACTTGGCTTTGCAGTGTTGTTGCACTGCAGTGTTGCAAGCCATCTAAAAAAATGGAGGTATAATACAGGAGGAACAATTTGGAGAGCTGCTAAAAATCTCTGAGGAAAAAAGACAACTAAATAAATGTCCTGGAGATAAACTTTCAAGAACCATGTTGTGGCAGCAGTGAATGGAAGCTTGATCATACAAGGTAACCAGCCTTGGTCTTGGCACTCTTGAGCCTTCATGAGAGTCAGTACTCAGTGTTTCTAGAAAATGACAGAAATGGGTCAGCCCAGGGGATTTCATGGTTTTCCTAGATATCTAAATGCCGCCTTCTGAGATTGAGTTGATTTTTGATTTTAAAACTGCTGTGTCGAAGGAGCATGCTGGCCACGAATGTGATGGGAAGCAAAGCTCCCGGGACAGCAGCTGCTGTTCCCTGGGAGCACTTAGGATCATAAATTCAAACACTCAGAAATTAGGAGAAAATGTCCCATAATTAGCTTATGAGCATTTTGATAGCTGCAGGAAGCAAGGCAAAACCATGAAGGCATTTCCTGGCTTCTGACTTACCTTTCGGATTTCACAGTTTCATACAGAGTTTCTAGATGGGAAAAGCTTTGTAGGAAGGAGGCTTACATTCATTTGTGTTTCCAAAGAAAAACACAAAGTTCTTCCCCATGTGAGGAGTTACACTGACTGTGAATAAGGGCTCTCGTGGGAAACACAGCCTGCAACAGCTTTTTTTATCCCCGGAAGAGATGGAGCAGTGAGTCCGTGTGAACTTGCTGCTCTCAGGGTGACTTGAGAGTCTTGCCAGTGGGCTGCACAGCTCTCACTGTCACCAATCAGCAGTTCGGTGTCGCATGTTCTGCAGAGCAGGACACAACCACAATTGCAGATGGAGCCCTCATCTGCTTACTGTTTTTTTAGGTTTTTAAGCCTTAAGTAACTTCTACCTCCATTATCTGAAAGTAAGAAAGCTGCAGTGTAAAATCAAAGTAGCTAAAAGGACTTACTCTGGACTTACTAAGTGTGTTCACTTAGGAAATATTGTGGGTAGATGACCCTTTGATGACCTGTCTTTCTGGCCATCTCATAACCCTGTGTGATATGTTCCCAGACTGAGGGATGTCCAAGTGTTATCTCTTTATCAGCTGTGTGAAAGGCTTCTTTTAAAAAGAAAAAGAAATGGAATGTGCACAGACTTGAATTGCAGTGTTGCTCAAACTTTGTGTGAAGACACAAGGAGCACCAGCACCAGGCTCTCAGAGCACTTTCCCACTGGTTTTAGGGAATGGCCTTCAGGAAAGCTCTTCCTTCTCCAGACCGTTGCTTGAGACCTCCTTAATTGCTTGGCACAGTGGTAGATGAGAGGGACTGCCTTACAGCTAGATGGTTACTTTACCTCCTCCTGTTCCTATTGCTTGAAGTTAGCCTGCTCCCACGAAGATCACTCACATGTGTGCCTGGCTGGGCACCTCAGTTCTCTTGCACAGTCTTATTTGGGGGCACCTTAACCTGATTCCCTCAACTGTAGGACTACTACTCCTGTTCCTAGCAATTTTTTGGTCCTGTCACTCTTCCTCTTTGCACATGAGGCTTTCCCAGCTGCTTTAAAGGGACCTCTCACTCTGTCCTCAATCACCCAAGTGCTCCCTTGGGTCAAGAAGGTGCTGGAGGGAGATGCATTTTTGCTAGGTTTCCTCCCTGCCTTCTGACCTGTGCCTGGGGGGATGTATGGAGGCATATGTGGAGACCCAAAGGGTGGCAATACTGGTCAGCTGATACACACAGTGCTTTTCCCTGTCTGTCACCTCTGGGGTAGGGAGAGTTGTACCCCTGCTTGTAGCAGCATGCTTTGCTTTATGCTCAGAAATCAGCCTGTCCCAGCAGGCTGGGGACCTGCAGTAGCTCCTTTCTCTCTGCAGCAGGAAGGTAGTGATGTAACTGTCAGGGCTCCAGACTGGAAATGTGCGAGCAGAGCTACACTTAACCACCTTTTCCGCTTCAAAACAGAAGGAAAAGGGGTTTTTTTCGGTCTTGCTACAGCTGAGGACCTGTGCAGGAGCCTCAAAGAATCAGGGCGAGTAGAGGAGATACGTGAGAGATTGCAAATCTCTAGGGGGATAGCAGGAGCATGGCAACAAATCTCTAGGGGGATAGCAGGAGCATGGCAACAAACAGGCGAGAATGGCATGGGGGTTCCCTGAAGTGATTCATGTCTAGGACATAGCTGCAACATGGAGGGTCCTAAGGAGAAGGGTTGAGAAATGTCTGACCAAGGATGCTGAGAGCTGGAAGAGTGTGGGACTGAGAGGCTGGGAAAGACAGAGGGATGGAGATGAGGGAGCAGATGGCAGAGTGAATCAACAGCTGGAGGCTTCTCCACATGGTCCTATGTGCTTGGTGATAAACCTTGCCCTAACCTGGAAAAGCTTCTTTGCTGAAATCTGTAAAGGAAAATCAGAATTACAGAGGACCTCAGCTTTACAATAGTGCCAGGAGAGGAGAGGGAAGAGGTAGGCTCACAGATCACCTGTGGATTTTTTGGTGGATGGGAGTAAATTGACTTACTTTCTAGGCTCAGAGCTGCATGATTTGGTAGTGAATGTATTCCTTCAGGATATACAAGAAGGAAG